ACATGACATGGTAACATAACTTGAATCGAACACTAATAGCTAACAAAACTATACATACACATGCAAAAAGATATCTGAATGCAAATTTTGTTTTGTAACCATTTGGACTCATTGTAGAGTAACAATAACTTAGATAAGGATGTTCATAATACAAATTGGTTTATCATTAATACATATAGTAATTATAGCTTTCACAATTCACATTAATTATATATAATCTCCACATACATCATTCTGTACTTTTATTACATCAATTACAACAATCAGCTATTAGTTAACATATTTAACAAACAAACTTATCACAAATTGACCCCATTGCTTGGCTTACCTAAATAAAAATGCATTAGATTGAGCATCCCACATGCCCTTTGTAAGGTATAGGTATAACCTTCAAAGGAACAGATTTTCTAAGTGTGATCCCCATCCTCTCAGTCATATCCATATTCTCTGGCTCAAGCCCTTCTGGTAAAACCCAATCAAATGAGTGCAAGAGTGACCCTAGAGCCAGAGGGAGTACCCTAGAGACTAGTGGCACAGCAGGGCACATCCGACGGCCAGAACCAAATGGGATGAACTCAAAATGCTGCCCTTTATAATCAACGGCCGTGTTGGGCTCCAAGAACCTCTCAGGCTTGAAAAGCAAAGGGTCCTCCCATGTCTTTGGGTCACGTCCAATGGCCCAGACGTTGACCAGAATTTGGGTGCCTTTGGGAATGTGGTGCCCTAGCATTTTACAAGAGTCCATGGCCATGTGTGGGACCAGGAAGGGAAGGGGTGGGTGGAGCCTTAGGGTTTCTTTGATGACTGCTTTGAGGTATGGGAGGTTTTCAATGTCTTTCTCTTGGAGCTTGTTGCTGGAGGATATGGTGCTTCTTAGCTCGGCTTGAACCTTTTTTAGGGTTTTTGGGTTGTTTAGAAGCTCTGTCATTGCCCACTCTAGTGTGCTCGTGGTTGTGTCAGTTCCTGCAGTGAACATCTCCTGAAATAATATATCGGCGTAAATTTGTTTGTGTACAAGAACATTAAAATTGAATTCAGATTCAAACAATTCGAAAGTAGAACAACCGTCAACCATCTTTCTAATAGAAGTGGGACTTATAAATAAACAAAAATAAAATCGAAGTGCAGCATACTTACATAGATGTTACACTTACGTTACAAAGAGTTTTTCAGTTGGTAGAATAAAATTATTGTTACCATCTCAACTGATTATATACAATAATTTTGTAATAGATGTGACACTTGTGGGAAATTCACTCAATTGTATTAGAGGATACATTAAACAAGATAATACGTACGGATAATACTAAAATTGAAAGGGATTAGATGACTTACAAAAACAATGACATTGACGGTTCTTGAAGAAGAGAACCTAGAGGGCTCATCAACACCATCACCACGGTATTCCAATAGTACGTCTAAGAAATCTTTTGTCCTCTCTATGCCATCATATCCACCATTCTCCATGCTCTCCATTCTTTCTCTTATAAACTCGCCTGCAATTTCAAAGGCCTTTTCCACATGGAATTGGGTGTTCCTCCTGATGCCTTGTGGATCAAGCCAACGCAAAATTGGAAAGAAATCTGCCATATTTGGCTTCCCAGCCAACTCCATAACCCTTCCTGCATGGTAAAAAAACATAGCCCCTCTCTCCGATTTTGGGTCCAATAGGTCCTTAGAAAACATGAGGTTCCCAATCAGATTAAAAGCCATCAAGAAAATGAACCTACCCAAATCAATGCCATCAGTTTTGGTACTCAATTCCGATGCAGCATCCTCTATGAACTGCACCATTCCATTGATGCATTTGGCACGTACATGACACATGGCATCGAGGCGACTTGTCACGAAGAACTCAGTCGTGCACAAACGCCTCAACATGCGCCAATGAGGCCCATATTGGGCCGTGATCAGCGAACCTTCGTTGCCATAATCACCCTTCATGGCCTCGTAGATTTTTCGACCGGCTAGGACCACGTCGTGGTTTTTGAACATTTCACGGGCCACTTGGCTCGACGAGATCACTACGGTGCTCATGGATCCTAGCCAAAGTGTCATGATTGGGCCGTGTTTTCGGGCCAACATGGCAAATGATTCATGGGGTGGGCTCGAACCCAGTTGGAATATGTTGCCCACCACAGGCCACCATCTTGGCCCAGGTGGGAGGTGCCCTGCTACCTCCTCCAAACGATGTCGTCGAAGATGGGTTAACAACAATATTATCGACCATCTTGGCTCAGGTGGGAGGTGCCCTGCTACCTCCTCCAAACGATGTCGTCGAAGATGGGTTAACAACAATATTATCGACCATGCAACCCATATCAATACCACCCCTATGGATAAACCAACAACCTCATTGTGCTCCATTTTTGTGTGTGTGTTTTTTTCTAAAGTTTTGTTTGGTCTCTGGGAAAATTTCTATGTGGCTTTCGTTTCTGTTTTTGCAGGTTTTCTCAGGGAGGAGGCCTAATATATAGTTTCTCCTTTGATTACGTGACAAATCCAAGCAACCTATTAGCATTTGAGAAAACTTGTCTTTTTTCCAAGGGGAATCTAAACCTGATTTTATTTTTTAAAACCTGATCATGTCGGACATGTATTCTCTTAAATTAATTAATATATCCAATCCAATAGCTTCAACCTCAAGCATTTTATTTTTATCCATTCCACATACGTCTTCCTCTATGAACATAAACACACAAGTATCGTCAAACCTCAGATCCTTGTAGCGTTTTTATATTTCGTTCATTTTACTTTCACTTTTATTTTTTGCACCCTAATTAAACCACAGATCCTTGTCCCAAATGTCTTCATTACACTACTTGTGTGAGATTTTGTTGCAACTCAATCTTTTGCCAGAAACAACCCAACTAAGAAGATAACATCAGAATGAACAAGAACGATATATCTTTGATTGAAACAAGGCAACAACCGAATACTATTTTAGAGTTGTCTATTTTAATAAGAGTTTAATTATAATTGTAGAGTTGTCTATTTTAATTATATTATATATATATATATGGTAATTGTGACTGGTCTTTGGGACCAGTGGACCATGTACTATTGTTAATATAATATCACCTTTTTTATAATATAATCTTTTATTTAATATACAAATTTTATGATTGCTATATTTTTTTTTAGTACAAGTGATGGTCTAAACTAGAGAGGAGGGGAGTTTCTCTCACACACACACTACTTTATGATGTCATGGGGGTTCGAACTTGAGACCACTAATATGCAAGTCAAATGCTATTTTCCACTGGACCAGACCCCGTTGGCCTATATTGTTATGTCTAAACATGAACTTTTGGAAATTTACCTATATATAGAAAATATATATTTCAACAATATTCTTTCTGCTGTATGCATCACATATTATTCTGTTGTGTCATTAAGCTATTGTAAATTAATTCTTATCCCTTTGTCCCCTAATTTTTAAGCGAATTCATAATTCCATTTCTTGTTTTTTTTCTTTTGCTACCCAATAATTTCATTTTTTTAAAGGTTTTGAAATTGACAAAGCCACAAAGGTAATGGCCTTTACAGTACACCTGGTCCCCTCCTCCGTCTTGCGATATTTGCGGTTTGATTGAGCTTCGATTCACCTAACCTTGGCGCATGCAAGGAGCCTTTTGTTTGTCCATGAAGAAAAATGAGGCTAAGCTTAGCTCATTTCTGATCACAATACATGCATGGTCCAACAATTTATATAAATATCATATCTTAAACAATATTCTATTTATTTTTCTGATCGTTTTTTATTTGACTTGGTTTCTAAAGTGCACCCAAGGTGATGCTAAAGCGCCAAAGGCATGGATTTAAACTTATATATATAGCTCTGTCCCTCTCTTTTAGAAAAAAAAACAAAGGGACCTACGATTCAGTACTTCTACTTTATCCTTAAATTATCAAAGATGTCTGAGTCATTCTTGAGTCACGGATGATGATAACTTTTCTTCCCTTTGTCCATGAAATCTGTATACATCATACATGTTAGAATAAGTTTTTAGGTTTTTTTTTTCTTCCCCAAATACTAAGGAAGGTTTAAAAAGTACCACACTATCATCCCTCAATTCCACTTCCAAACCACACCACCTCTGCAGACATGGGCTCAGTCAAGTTAGCTAGAGCAGACGTGCTCCCCACTTTGTATCCGAGTTTGAATTCCCCTCCCTTTAATTTAGGTTAGATTATAGTAGAATATCACTTGTATTAAAAAAAAAAACACCACACCTAGTATGAGTTTAATAGGTAATTGATTTTAGGCTTATGGTGAAGACTAGAAGAAAGTTCAATAAAAAAAATATCACTTAAAAAAACTATTACTTGCGTGGTAGGCATTTTTCGCACTTTAATGCACTCATTAAAAATACAAAGATTACTTTAAGCTATAAGTCTCTTGCACCTTTATGTTTATACAATGAGAGAATATGTGATAGCTTTTTAGGAGCACCAATAATAACTCCTTTTGAAGAAACATTATTGATACTAGCCTCTCTGCACGCGCTTCCGTGCCCGTGAGAGGCATTTTTTAAAAAAATTAAAATTTATTTTAAAATTAAAATAGGCCATTATCTGATTTTTCTTTTAATTTTAATTTTTTTAAATATGGAAAAGTGTGAATTTACCATATTATCCTCATTTAATTAATAATTTCAATTCTTAATGTTTGCATTAACCAAGGGCATTTTCTAGTATTTTGAATGTTTCACCATTCTCTGCCTTTTGCTTTATATATATATAGATGAATCAAATGGAGTGTGATTGAATCCTATACTTATTCTTATTTATTAGTTTTGCTAAAATCAGTCGCCCGCATAGCACAACTCTATATTATAATGGTGCCGGGTAGGTTTGTCGGAATGGGTTTAGACACACTCTGCCCTTCGGATAGGCCCAATCACATAAGCTGGCCCAAGAAAGTAAACTCCTTGGTCGGCCCACATAACCTTCCCGTAAGCTAAATGTCTTTGGCGAAGTGGACTCTCTCTCTCTCTGCTGAGTGAAAAACAGAAGAGAAATGGCGGCAACTAAGAGCAAGGCAGTTTACAACGTTTACCGAGCGCTGAGCCATGGTCTCTCACCATTGCTGTACCTTCACCTACACTGGCGCAAACTCCGAGGCCTCGAGCATCCACTCCGCTGGCCCGAGCGTTTGGGCCGACCTTCCCTCCCTCGTCCCCCGGGGCCGCTCGTCTGGTTCCACGCCGTTTCATTAGGTTTTCTCCGATCCATTGCTTTAAATTCGTTTGCTTTCCTCTTGTTTGGTTACTGAGAAAGTGGGGGAAAATAAGAGAGAAAGCTGATTCAATCGTGGTTCTGCTTCTTTAGTTTTGAAATGCTCATTGAATTTCTTTTTTCGATTATAATTTTGGCGTAATGAAATTTGAATCAGGTGAAGGAATGGCTGCCATTCCTGTAATCAAACAATGCATTCAGCGAAGGCCTGATTTGACCATCTTGATGACCACTACAACGTCGTCCGCATTGTAAGACCAAATCTCCGTTTCCAGAGCTTAATTTGAAATTCATTGTGTAAGTTTTATCCATTTTAAAAGCAACTCCGAACTTATTTTTGGTTTTCCTTCTCTACATATGCAGTGAAGTAATAGAGAAACGTCTTCCAACTGGTGTCATACATCAGGTGCATTATATTTTTACTTAATTAATTGCTCGACACTGGTGAAAATGTAGGGACTTTTATACCATTTAATAACTTTGGTTAGATTTTTCTGCTCAATTCAATCATTTGATTTAATGCTCTAATCGGGGACATAATTTATAGGCAACGAGGGGATCAAGGTCTAATTTTTAGTTAGTTGTACAAAAAATAAAAATAAAACTAATTTTAATACAATATAGATGGAATGATTAAAGGTACTGGAACAACTTGAAATTTGACATGAATCTGATCATCAAATCTAACAGTAGGATCCCAAAAAAAAAAAAAAAAATCCTACAAAAAATTTGTCAAGTGGTGTAAAGCTCGTGAGAGTGTCAATTAATCCTAAAACCTTCTCTATGTGGTTGCTTTTGCTTATGATTTTTACTATATTGTGTACGGTTGAAAAAAGGTTTAAAGCTTGCATAAAGTGATAATTGAAAACAAGGAAAACTGACTTGATTTACCTTGTCAGTTTTGTTGGAATTGACAAAGAAGTTCCGGGCATTGCATGCTAATGAAAGAACAATAAATTTTTAAAGAGAGTGCTACTATGGCTTTAGCTCCCCTTTGGGGAAAAAGAGAAGGATAAAACTGATTACTTCTATGCTTTAGCATGTGTAAATCAAGATTAAGGGAAAACAAACTGTTTCCTAAATAGTTGACCCAAAAAAAAACTGTTACCTAAATAATATTTGGTTATAATTACAACATTCTATGTTTTGGTCAGTTACTATTTGTTCTTCAGACATTTATGTTTAATATGTTGTATAGATATGTATATTATTTGTTTATACAATAGATTGGAATTGGAATACATCCATGGTTGGTTATATCTATTGGTGTCCTTATAGTAACATGGAATTGTAATGTGTTGCTCTTGTTCTGTATAGCTTAATTGAAAGTAAAGATATCATATTTCTGATTGTGTTATACTCAAACTTCCCAATTGAACTAGTTTGCGCCTGTTGATACACCTTCTGCTATGGACTCATTCCTCGGTCACTGGAAGCCAAATGCAATTGTGATTATGGAGAGTGAACTGTGGCCAAATTTAATTATGGGTGCTTCAGAAAAGGGTGTAAGTTATTTTATCTCATGAATATATCTTTCTAAATTATGTGAGCATATCTTTTGAGAAAAAATAATAACCAAATTGTACTGAGAAGTATTAGCTCAGTTATAATTTTTAACTTTACCCTAAATAGTTGTTTATTATTATTCCCTGTATCTGCATCCAAATTACTGCTTAGCTTGACTACCTTTCAATTTGTATAACTTGGATGCATTAAATGCATTTGGTTTTTGAAATGGATATTGTAGAATGATTTGTTGTCGTTTCTAGATCACTTTTATGATCCATATTTTCTTCAGATCACACTGGCATTGTTAAATGCTCGGGTATCTACTAAATCCTTTAAACGTTGGTCAGGACCATTGCTTCTGCCACTTGTTTCGTTGATGCTATCAAAGTTTTCTTTGATTGTCCCATTGGTAAGTGCTGCTATAGATTGCATTGAGTAATTTGTGTCTTCTGTTGTGCTCTCACTGATTCGCTGCATGCACAGAGCAATATGCAGGCAATCCACTTTCAGCTACTGCATGCTCCCCCTTTTGTGATCAACTTTTCTGGTGACTTGAAATATGGTATGCTTCACATGAAAACTTGTATTTTGTATTATATATATTTGGCTTAACATGTTGACCCATATATGAAAATGAAGCTTATGATTTGGAAGTCAATTGGAGGGTCCAAATGTTATCTTTTGAATTTGGGTTCATTCCATAATAAATTTATAGGAATTCTTCAAGAAGGTGATAATCTATTCTAATCCCACAATTTCGATTTTTATTGTTAATGTTCAGTGGTTGAAGAATTTGACATTTCTGAGGGAGAGATCAGAAGTATAGAAGATTTAAAAGTACATCTTGCCCTCCGGAAAGTTTGGATGGCTTCATCCATACATAAGGGGGAAGAAGAAGGTCATTTCCTGTTACTCACTTAGCCTTATGTCCAAAACTGTATATATGGTGTCATCTGCATGTTAGAGTTTCATTTAGAGAACTCACCTGAATCGTACAGTGTCATGTTACCTCATTATTGGCAGTTATTGGTTTCTGAAAGTTATATAAGTGCTCGATGATTTTGTTATGCAACTGCTGGTGCTAGACTGCACATCGTCCTTTGTTTGGTGCCACTGAGGCTTGCAACATCATTTTCAACTAGAAGTTAGTGCTTTTTTATTTGCTTAGTTCATTTTACCTTCCATTTCTTTTTACATTAGCTTTTTTCTAAGTATCGAAATTCATCTAAAGAAACATTCACTTTCTGTATGCCTTCCCTGAGTATGAGGGAATATTATTCCTACCCAGCCAGCCATTTGAACAGATACACCCATAATGTCTTTGGAAAATCATAATTAGCTTGTGATATATTTATGGATAAATTTTAATAAGGTTTTTGCCTTCTTTCTGGTTTTAAGTTTCTTTACAAGCATTTAACAGTAATGTTCTTTTGCTAATTTATTTCTGTCTGCTGAAAAGCTCACAAATACTATCTGCAGTAATACTAGGCATTCACAAAGTGCTCATGCAACAGTACCCAGATGTGTTAACTATTATTGTTCCTCGACATCCGCAGCATGGAAAAGAGATTGCTCAAGTATGACATACGTTCTATTTTATTCACATTTAACAGTATAAATGGTAACCATAAAAGTATTAATTTCCTGATGATAAGTTTTGGCAAGGCATAATTTCGTTGAGATTCACTACCTTCAAAAAAGAAAAAATATTTAACTTTACATGTATTAAGTTTATTTTATGTCATTGCCTTGAGTAGTGCAGCAATTATGGAAAGATGGGCATGGTGTAGCTCTAAGGTCTCGACATGATAAACTTGTAGGAGACACAAATTTATATGTGGTGGACACATTAGGTCAGCAAATTTGAAATCTTCTCCTTACTTAATTTTTAGACAAATCTTTAGCTAACCCTTCCTACAATGGCTTCTGGAAAAATATGCTCCCTAACTTCATTGTTTGTTTTCTGTCCTTGCTTGATTTATAGGTGAATTGAAACACTTGTATAGGTTAACTCCAGTAGCTGTTATTGGAGGTTCTTTTTTACCTAATCTTTCTGGTCACAACATATCAGAAGCTGCTGCAGCTGGCTGTGCTGTTTTGACGGGTGAATACTTGCTACCATATCAGAGGTTGGTTCTTAACATACCACTAATAAATGCTTTCTTATTTTGAATTTTTCAGGTCCTTATGTTGGGCATTTTTCACGCATGGTGCTGGAAATGCAACGATTAAATCCTCTATCAGTTCTGCAGGTGTGAAGAACCTCTATTCTCTGTACTGTTTGCTGAGACTCTTCAAGATTTAGCTCCAAAATCATATTGCACTCTTCTGAAATTTGACACGTGATATAATGATTTGTGTATCCTTTTCTGGTTTTAATTTAATTTTAAATCTGAATCTACCTTTTCATTCAAAATTCAGATGTTTTCATATTGCCAAATGTAGGGACCCTAACAATGGGAGTATTCAATTCTACCGGGAAATGTTGTTATTTATATGATCATCTATATAGGTTCTACATGGGAAGTTCATAAATCGGTACATGTAACCGCTACCCTGTTCAGCTGTTGGGTGAAGCTTTTAGGCAGACATGTTGAAAAGCCATCTAGTACTGTATGGATAGAATGGGCATCATTATGTTTAAGTTAATTTCTTTAAGAATTTTTCTGGTGTGTGTTAGCTTCAGTTGCTAGTCTTTCTAAATAAGCCATTGGACCTGTGCTAGTCTGCTTTTCAGTGGGAAGATAGTTGTTGTTGTGGTGTTAGTACTGGATGTTTGGATTGTGGATAGTTTTTACATTAAAATAACTATGAAAACCTGTGACTTAGTTAACATATGTTCTGTACGGATAAATAAATAAATAAAATTTAAAAGGATTTTCTATTGTCAGCTTCTCAGGAAAAAAGTCTGTAATTTGCTTTCTATGTCAATGGTGATGCAGGTTTCTGGAAAAATAGAACTTGAAGACGCTCTTAAAAAGTTGTTTAGTGACGCCAATATTCTAGAAGCACGTCGTACAGCTGCAAAACAAGTGTATCATTCTCTGTCAACTGGTATTGTTGGCAAGGTTTGGAGTCTTCTAGATTTTCAGATTCTCCAACGGGCTTTAAGCTAAACAGTACATGAAGATCAGTTTGCAACAATAGAAAATAGGGTAAGGTTACTGCTGCCATTAGCATCAGAGTATTTTATTTTTATAGCCATTTAGCATGCCCTTACTAGCATGGGTTTGCTGTATCAAATTTCTTCTTCCAGTGGCACCTCTGGTTGTGAGCGATATGTTGTCTATACAGCCTCACATTAGGTATAGGATTCTTGAATTTACTTTTGCCCTTCAAGAAAGATGAAGGTTGACAGTGAAAAACAGCGGCTTTGGAAACAATATGTGCCTTGATCTCTAATGTTAAACCTCATACGGTTTAAACCCATATACGTAGTTCTGAGACATCTCTTGCATCTTAATTCTTATGATACTGGACAATCTTTGTTTTTAAGGAATCTGATCATGCAATGACCTCATTTTCGTGCACGAGACCGTTGTGACTTGTGAGTGTGTTTTTTAGGAATCTCCACCCGTAAATAAATAAAAAAACCCATATCGGTTTATATAATACTGAATTTTATTTTATTTTCAATAACAACCGTTAAAAACCCATATCGGTTTATATAATACTGAATTTTATTTTATTTTCAATAACAACCCGTTTAACAAATCCTACACTTTTTTTTTTTTCGAACTGATTACGCACTGCATTGACTCAGCAGGGGAAGACTGTCTTCTCCCTTTTGTCTACTGGTAGCTTGGTAGGTATAATGGTTTTGCTATTAAAATAGAAAGATAGTGATCACAGTTATCAGAAAGCTATGAAGGGGCAGGAGAATTGATTGCTACTTGTACCACCTCTAAGAGAGTGAACTATATCTTCAAACAGAAGCTCATCGCACGGTATGGCTAAAGGGCCAGGGCATTCATGAGCATACTCTTCATATGCTTGGTCTAGCAGCTGCCGTAAAACTGGGTGGTTCAGCAAATCCGCCCTTACAACGAACCTTCTCCTAGCTTCCCCGACTACCACAGCCAAGTGACCTGGAGGGACATCCCGGGGTGGCTTCTTTTCACTGCCTCTGGTAAGTCTCCGCTTCGCATGCAACCCATTCTTTTTCAGCTTAGCGATGTTGCAGATCATGCCACGTCTGGAATATTGCTCTCTTGGAGGAGCCATATGATCCATGAGGAGTGAGGTTTCAGACATTTTTTTGGTAAGGATGTTCAAAGTGGACGGGGGTATTTATTTGTGAGGGCAGAAATCCTCTCCGGTTCGGTCTTCTACAATTGATTCATTTACACAATAAGGTAAAATATCTTATAACTACTATCTGCATGAAATGCAGGAAATAACTGATTTGGGGGTTTTTTTTGTTAGGTTTCCTGCATCACCAACTTTGCTTAGTTTTTTCTGGGATAAAAATTGACACTCTAATAACTTGATGTGATCCAAGTAATTGGATCTTAACTTCTTTGCTTGAGAACATGTCTCCAGCAAATTTTGATAACTTAAAAAGCAAGGGATCTTGCCTTGGATGAAATTGAAATACGTTCGTAGCATTTGACCCAAAAAGATTTCAAGAACATACCACGGGTCCTTAAACAAAAAGGATAAAATTGTGGCTAAGAGGCGGGGTTTGTTTGCATAACTAGAAATAGCCCTCGTAGCATGTGTTTGTAGGGTTCTTGGGACCATGGTCTTCTTTTCATGGTTTCCAACTTCTCACATGCGCACAACACATGCATTGGAGGAGAAATCCTTGCATACCACATACAAAGTCTCTTTCATAATCACTGATTACGTGATCAACATATGAGGGTTGAGGGATGAGGCGTGTTGTATACACCCGTGGTATGCTAGAATTTTTCCTCTCGAACATGAACGAACAATTTTTCATGGCATCAACGGTAGGGGCTTTTTTCTTTCTGTCTTGGGACAAGAAACTACTTGGGTCCCCTACTTCTAAACTTACAAGTCACAAGTCTTGACACACGTACACAATTTACTAATTTAAAACAGATTTTTAAAAAAAAGAAAGAAAAAAAAAAGATTTCTTCACACCTTTCAAACTATTATTTGTATTGTATTTAAGGATGGAATCATGTTATTGTGATAGCGTCACTGCCACTCCTCTGCCTCTCTCCCCTCACGTTGGTGACACTGAGACATGCAAGTTTCTTTTGGGAGAAGTGTCGAAGGTGGGGGTGAATAGAGTCCTCATTGTCATAACATCATTTTGCATGTTTCCGTACAAGGCTGATGGCTATGGGTCATGAAACTGAAGTTGGGCTTGAGAATAACCCAGTCCAAAACTCTCTCATCTGATGGGTTGTCTTATGTCTCGGCGTTGACGAGTGGTCCATATTTAAGTTTAATTTTCTCATAATTAGTAATTACCAGAAGTCGCCAGCATGGCTACAACTCATTCTTTCTGGATTGGCTGCCTACTAATTTGAATGAAAAAAGGCCAAACGAATTCATGTAGTTTGCTGTAGTTCTTTTTAGGTTGCTCGTGCCCATGAAATATTATTTCTACTTTCGTGTCACCTGATAAGTTAAGTGACAAGTACCGTCCATATTAAAATCTATTACACATTACGTACTATTAATCATAAATAAAAATTATAACATATGAAAGGTTTTAATTGATTGGTGTCAATGGTGTGAAGTTTTTCTCATTCCATTGACATCCAATCCAAACATTTGCAAAGCATAATTATTTTTGGAAGGGTAAAAGGTAGATATATTGAGTTTATGAGTAGCTTTTCATCACCCAAAAAAAAAAACCAGAAAAAAAAAATTGGGAGCTTTGGTTTAAATTCCGTTGGGTTCCATTCCATGTGTTAAAATGGATTAACAGTACACGCCTTAGTTTTACACCATCATCATCTAATGTGTTTTGTGGATATATCATTCAGCCACCATCACCACGCAGGTTAGTCCAAATTTTTAGTTTGTGAGGTCGGTCCCCTCGAAATTCAGGGCTAGAAGAAAGGGACAAATTTTTTAACCGAGGGACAAAAAAAATACAGAAAACAGCTGTCTGTATTTTGGATGATGTTGTACACTTCCATCGTCCTTTTCAGTACCAAGAATTTGGGAAAAGAAAATTAGAAATGAACATGGCGATTGTACAAGACTAACGATTTTCCATTTATTGGAACATGGGAGTGTACTGCTGTGGAGTCTTGTCCATGCCCATTCATGTTGCTTGCTGTTGGAGACAAGAAGGTAGGCTCTCTCTCTCTCTCTCTCTCTCTCTCTCTCTCTCTCGTCAAAAAGTAAAACAGAGTAATTCTTTTTACCCTTTTATTTTGGATTGAAATGAAGTCTAGGTATGAAAGTTAATCATGCTTCATCATCACTCTCTTTTTAATTTTGGTTTTGTTATGAAACAAACCAAAATGGAAGTGTAAATACTCATATATTCAGTTTTTCTCAATTTAATTTTCTAATGTGACTTTGTTAGTCATATAGGAGTTTGGAATTAGGTCTATTTGGGTTTCTCAAATAATGGGTTTTTTCAGCTCTATAAGCATCTGATTGTCAAGAGTTAAAGAGTTACTTGACAGTTATATGAAGGGTTTCAAATGTTAAACAGATGTAAAGAAAGAGTTGAAAAGATATAAAGAGTTTTTGTTGGATCTCAAGCCTCTATATTAAAAGTTTGTGCATTTATCTGCATTTTGTTAAGTGTAGCCGGTTCTAATAATCTAATGACCAACTTCGAGTTGAGTTTAGTTGTTTATAACTCTATGATTTTGTGGGTTATTAGCTAAAGCTTGGGTCACGCTGCCTTTTAGGCCACTTCAGTCTGCATATATAAATGATGTTAGCAGAAAAATAAAATAAAATACAATCATCTAAACTGGCCATTACATCAAAGCTTTGGATCTGCTGATTATTTTCTAGTTCATTATGAGATGTTTGAGGGTCTGCCTTTTGATTGAGCTCATCAGCTCAGAATGTAGTTTTTTAGTTGAGAAACTATACAAATATATATATATATATATAATATTAACAATGCAGAAAAGTTCTATGTATAATTTTTAAAGATCAAGTCATAGAAGGATAATGTTATCTTTTTTCTAGCCAATAGATGCTGATCACAAGAGTTGTGCTTAGCAACCATTAATCGAATTCAAATGTTGATATTCAAATCCCAACAAAGTGTATTTCTTTTCTAAACAATTGTCACTGTTGATCCTTTTTTCAATGGTTGATAAGGACATATAAATAAGAGATTAGAGATATCTGTAATTAAACAAGTCCAATTTTCCTGTTACCAAATTTTATGTGCCTTCCTATTTTCTTCCTCAACTTAAGTTAAACATATTCTGTTTGATTAGCTATAAGTTAACTCAAGTTACTGAACACTCTGCCTGTCTTCCACAGAAAATCCAAACCCTAAAAATGCCAAGTCCACTAAGAAATAATGCAGATAAAAATTCTTCAACTTTGGCTTCATTTTGCTCCTGAAACTTCTTAAACCTAAAAATCACTGCAAGTCTGTCTCATTTTCCAATGATTCTACCAAAATTTTGAAAAATTACATTCTTAAGCTTTTCGTCCTTTGACCCTTTAGCTTTTTTTTTTTATGTTGGGCACCAACTTTTGTCTGCTTGTCTTTGCTGATTCAGCAAATGACTGTGGCAAATTGGAACGCCAATCCCGCCTTCAATCTCTCTCTCTCTCTCTCTCATCTTCTTCTTTTTGCATGCTTCATAATTAAAAAAACAAACAATCCAAGATGCAAGAAAAGAAAAAGAAGAGAGAGAGAGAGAGAGGCTGTAGCCTGTAAGCATTTCCTTCACTTTTTGAGACAGCATCAACTGCATGACCATTGTCCTCCTCAAGTTGATTGATGACAACTGGGAAGTGTACTGTTAAAATGTCTAACCATGTGGCGATAAAGAATGGATTAAGTCTGCAATTATATTATTCTCCACTAATTGAAGATCAAATCCTGAAAATGTTGCTAATTCTCGGGGAAAAAAAGGTTTTAGATTATGATTATGGAAGGGATTTGAAATTGTGAAATAGTTCCAATAACACTGTTGGGTAAAGTCAATTATCCATGCTAGCAAAACTTCTTTGAAGCGACATACAAGGCTGCTCGACAACATGGGCTAATTAGACAAACTAGCTACATCACAGAATTATTTAGAAGAATTCTCCACTTCTTAATGCTAGCGATTACGAGAGAAGTAATTCTAATACAAGACCTTAGTATATGGATAAACATTCTTAACCACACATCAGACGCAGATATGTGTTTGCACTTCTTTATCAAATTGTCACTCAGTTTCCTCAGGGACCGTATCCCTCTCAACATTCAGCATTACGCATCCAGGTACTTGTTGTATGCAGCTCTTACAAAGAA